GCCGTTCGTCTAGAAAATGTGGGAGCCTCGACATCTCAAAATCCTATGGGCCTACACGTGCTGTTACTTTAACTTCTTACCGAATATTCGTTAAAGTTATGAAAGTGCGGTTTTCATCAACACCAGAAACGCTTCCTGAGGACGGGTTGCTCCTGGAGCAGGAACAATATTGACCGGCAAATAGAGTAACTTAACTTTATGGAAGTTGTCATAAATTGTATTGTTAATTGAAATTTAAATCGTTAATTTACTGCTATTTAAAACACTTGTTACGTCTTGTTACATGTATGTACGAGCATGTTTTTTTTTTCTGTCAGCCCATGCTCAAATTCGTGTCTGTGTTCTGGAAGGATTTGAATTTTGATGTCTGCAGTGTATATTATCTACCCGGAATTTATTTTTGTGTTCTGTGATTGAGACAGGTTGTTTGAAACGAGGCCGGCCGGATTAGGAGTAACCCCCCCCCCACCTTACGCCTCACGGAAAGAGAACCACTTTTGGTTTGAGAAAATCAAAACGTTCAATAAAATCCGAGATAGCAGTCCCCACTATGGTTACAACCCTCGCCAGGAACCCTAAGATTGATCCTAGGATACGTTACAATTGTACCCCTTACTTCCATACAGAAGCTGACTTGTTGCTATTGCCAGTACGTCACTGGTCTTTATGTCTGTTCACTGCAGATATGAGTGCATTTCTGCATATAGATCCCCACCATTGCAAACAGAGTTAGGCCACAGATGTTACACTTATGAAGCCTGAAGATGCTTTGTGATCGGCTTACTCTGTAGGATTTTCATGCTCTTGCTGAGATTTTGTAGTGTGAGTAGAATTGTGCACCCAGAGTTGGCAGACGGACGGTATCAGCCCATGCAATTAACATAGATGAAATATAAAATGTAATAAGTTACATATATGATTATAAAAGTGAAAAGAGTTTAGATTTGCTAGCATGGCCAAACTTTTTACATTTAAACACGGCCATAGATTTTTATTCAGTATATAATAATAGATAAGTAGTATTTAAGGGAATTTGAAAATAGTTCCACATAGATACATTCCATTCATGAGATGTGCATATGATTCTGCCTAAGAAGAAAGGGCACTGAACCAGCATACTATGTCTTGTGTATTGAGTGTTCAGGGAAATCTCACACTGCACGATGAAATGAAGAAATTTATTTTTATTATAAAAGAAAAAATATTATCTTGTGTGGTCTATCCCTGTTTCTTCGATCTGAATATCCTCCCACTCCCCCTGATGAATGGTCGCTTTACGGATCAGGGTGATGAAGAGGATGCACTGAACTGGGAAGGGTGAAGTGATTGCCATGGTCCAAAGGACTCTGCTTAAGATCTCAGAGTCTACTTAATCCAATCTAGATAAACAAACGATTTCAAAATTATTGCGCAAACCCTTAGATATGGACTACAGTGGGTAGCTCAGCGTTACGTACCGCTGTCACGCCATCTTCTTAACAGTCCCTGTGTGGCGCATGTACTGTGGTGGGGGGAAATTAGAAATGAATACAGTTTTTTTGGTTCCCAGGCAAAGGTATAATGGAGTGTGAAGACATGGTCCTGATAACTGAGTTTGCGTTGGAATCGAGTGACAAGCTTTTGTGAAAACGGTAATGAATCTGCAAAGATACACGAAAGCTGGATTTTTTTTTTTATATTTTAATACCTTTCAGATGCTCGAAAAAGACGTGTATCATGTGATTGGCCTGTTGAGCAGTTAGTAAAAAATAATATTTAGTGTTATGCCTCAGACTTCAAACCTCTTTTTATAAAACACATGAACGTATAATTTCTGTTATCTGATTGCATCTCTTTCAATTTTGATATCTCGCTTCCTCTCTATCTGAAAATTCAGCAAAGCCGCTAACCTTACTTTTAACAATAACACTACAATTTCAGACGCCTTTGTATAAGAAATCTTCATCATCAAAGTGTTGAGTGCTTTTTCTTTTATCAGTTTACTTTTTTTTTTTAGTTCACATAGTTGGGGGTGGAGTCTAGCTGGGTCCACTCGGCACGGCGGCCACTAATTGGACTATTGTACCTACCCCGGGTGATTATGATTCTGGAGAATTTGGTGGAATGAAGATTGGCAGGGGAAACCGAAGTACTCGGAGAAAACCCGCCCCAGCGCCACTTTTTTCACTACAAATCCCACTTTACCAGACTCGGGATCGAACCCGGGCCGCCGCGGTGGGAAGCCAGCGACTAACCGCTTGAGCTATGGCGTGATCAATGTACTTAGTTTTATTCCTGTGAATTCGATTTTGTATGATGTTCGAGGTGCGAACCGTTTTACAAAGCACTGATCACGGGTTCGATCTCTCTCAAGTGTGAATAGCTAGAGGAAGACCTCACTAATTCGCACTAATTGGGAGCGAACCCATGTCCTAATTAGTGAAAGTCCGAATAAGAGAAATGCTAAAGCAATATTAGTGAGGTTTCACTCACACATGGAAACCTCACTATTACGGAATTCGCGATAATATATATTGTTTTAGTTTTCCATCACTACCACTCATACTAGTCGTCCTCATGATCAGTGCCCTCCCTCAAAGAGGGGGTTGTGAGGGGGTAGTCCACAGTGCAGATAGGACAGAACGTAAGAAATCTGGCATGTGGTGCCCAGTGCACACACTACCCATGACAGTCTGTGGAAAGTACCACAGAAAGAAAAATTAGTTACCGGATTGTGACGAAACGGGGGAGATTCCATCAGATTTAATGGGAAAATTAAAAAATATATATATGTGCCGAATTTGGATATTTCTTGTTTATCTGAAGTCAGTTGCTGCTTGGAAAATGAAGAGATTTCTGTTGCAAGATGGAAGTCATTTTCATAGGAAGTCTTTGGTCATCTCCCATCAGAAACCCAACAGTTTAAACCGTTGTTGTATGTAGCAGTACTAGCATACAGATTAATAATAATAATAATAATAAGGGAGACAAATTATTACTTGTCCCCAAAACACACAAAATTTTTTCTGACATAACTGAAACATGTGCCCAGCTACAGTTAGGCCTACCTTCTTTCTGAAACTTGAAATTAACATTTATAAAACAGGGAAATAGGGTATAGAGGAGAGTCATCTTGCTCAGAAGAGGAAGAAATTGCGGCCTCTCGTGGACCCTTATAATGCGTGGAATTTGTTGAGTAGCTGAGCGACTGTTAGATTCTCAACAAGAACTCTACTTCACGGGGATCATTTATTAGCGCTTCTAGTTATGTATATCCTAGATAATGTATAATTCCTGTTGCTGTAAAACAAGGAATACTTCAGGGACGATGGGACTCTACTCAGTGGAATTTCAAGGTCATGACGGCTGACGCCTAGTACACGTACTTGCCATGAAAAGAGATAATTCACCCCTAAAAGAAACATGGATAAAGGATACGAATCCAAACCAGAGAACGGATATATGTTTGCGCTTTTCGTTATTGCATACAATCGTATTTAACACATAACTTTCCACATTTGGTGATAGGTAAAAGGGACTTACTGCTTAAAAGCTATGGATAGTACATATTTCTGATCGGCTGAAGACCCTGGGGAACAAATGGTTCCCTCTTGTTCTGAGCGAATATAGCCTGCGGCATTAATCACTGACGAAAGATAAAACTTTGAAGTGTAGCATCATTGAACAACTGTGGTGGTAAGTCAGAGAAGTTATTAATTTGTTAGCCCACTGACAGTTTTGCGAAGTTCCAGACTTGCAAGAGAGTTTCCACGTTGTTAAGCCATTGAAACTAATAATTCATTGTAGACGATGGCATTCGAGTTTTGTTATATAGCTTTTGAGACACATGAAAAAAATCATTATTCTAGGAAATTTAGTAAAATATAGGACAATCTCTGGCTTTATGATTAACACTGAAAAGAAGTTCTAAAACTGTTTTAAAATATTGGGAACACAAAGTGTCTCGATAAATATTATGGAAAGTAGCTGAAGATAAATCTGTAAAGAATAATTAATAGAAAGCGTTACTGTTACACCGAAAGATTTATATAAGCAACGATTTTTCACTCTCAAACTATCGTAATTTCCCGCGATTTGTTTAGACTTCCGGATAGTGGAGTCGCAGCGCAGGTTATGGTAAAGTTCTATGTTACTGCTACGTGTAAACAACAGACTGATTTAATTTGTAAGACAGCTTATTTAAATACGATGTTAAGTAATGAGGGGGAGTAGATTTGCTGTAGGGAAGGAGCAGCGCGTCTGGGATATAATTTCTTGGGGAAGAGAGGCATTCAGGAAAACAGTACATTTCCAGAAAGAAAATACTCCTATGATTCACGAATTATAATGTTGTCATAAATTTGAAGGGCCCTTTGTTACGTAATATTTCTCTTCTAATAACATTTTCTAAGACAGAAGACCTATTCTTATATTAATCACTTTTTCCTTAGAGGTGGATGCAAGTTGGATAATTCGCACTTCACTTCTAAGCATGACTCAGGAAATGAAGGAGAAGATGCGACCTGTGTTATAAATTTTACACATATTCTATTTATAGTCACATGATGTATTATGTCGGTTGTTTATGAATTAAGGAGTATTATGAGGGTGCTAGATTGAATTGAGAGTTCTTAATCAACTTTTACTGTGAAATGGCTCCTTGAGGAACTAAAGCATAGTCTCTAAGACGCGATAATAAACAGTTTAGTTGTATTTACTAATTCTGGATGTACAGTGACTAAGGTCTTTTGCTTCACTCTAGTACACTCAGGTCCTGTTGCGATGACGGTAGTTATTATGTAAACATTCTGTGTGTATGCTTTCCTGTCCCATGGCTCGTTCAGAATTCCCGTTAGTTTAGACCAGATATTAAGAGAGTTGTTTTGGACCATGGTGCAGTGACTTTGCTGCGCGAGAGTGGCAAACTTCTGAGCTGTGTCCGTCAGATCATCATCATTAAGGAAACAATCATCATAATAAAGCAAGCCTCTTGTTTTCTCTCACCCTTTATCCCTCTACAGTTATCTGATGACGATTGGTTAGCCCCTAGTCTACTGGTTTGATGGTAAGGATGGTGCAGCCCACAAGAACCACAACAAAGTGCGTGAGGTTGGGGTATGTGCATGCCCCTCCGTCACCACATCGACCCTCCCTCATCCCTCCTGCGGAGCCACGAAAGACAAGTGGAGAAGACACGCCAATTTGCATGCTAACATATAAATACTGGAACCATCAGCAGACGCTACAAGAACGCCTCGGCGCTATGCACTGAAAATTGTGAACAAAATATAAAGAGTGAAGAACAATTGTTTGTCTTACATATATATAAAGCACTATATAAATATAACCTAGAAACATGAAGATATGTGAAATGTAAAAAAAATTGGGTGGGGCTTATTTTCATAGTACCGATTAACAAGAGGTTACCATGGTTTGCGTGTAGTTGTTAATGATGTGGGGGAAATATATAACGAGGAGAGGATATCTCTTTAATATGTACAAAGTTCAGTGTTACAAACGAAAACAAGAACCTACCCAATGTAGTTTGTAGAAAAACACACCCTAGGCCATAACAGGAAGGGTTTGTTGTTGGTCATCTATAAAAATATACAAAAATACCAAAAAATATAATCACGTAACCAAATTAGCAACTGGTAGCATAGATTTTAAATGTAGTGTTGAAACATAGAGCAATGTAACCCAGTGTTCTATCTGTATCCGCCATGAGATGCATACTGAGATGTCAAATCTACAATATGCAAGGGAATTTTACATTTAAAACTGGTAAAAGCCATAATAACGAAAAATATAACATATATCAGGCAAAAGATCGCTATTCATTAGAATTTAGCTTTGTCATAGGAAACAAAACAATTAGTGTTAGTGTTGTAGCTACTATCAGACGGTTTGTATATATATATTAGCATTTCATATTCCTTCTGCATGCTTCAGGTTTGACATCCCGGCAGCTACAGTGAGTATAGTGTAACATGTACACACCCACATCCCAATTCTACCCCTCCATTACCTGCCCTCTGCCCCACCACCGAGCTCCGTGGTACATCTGTAAAAGATGGCACCTTCCAAATCAACCAGGAGTCAATACTCTGTACTGGTTTTGTGCAAGTGGTTTCATATGTTATTTAGTTATAGTATCAAAGACGTACAGCTAATATTAACGAAACATTTTAAAGAAACCATCGAAAAGTCACGTGATTTGAAGCAATTCATTATCATAATTTAATATGTTAAAATTTAATGTACAATGCGGGAAGTATCTAGATGGATATTTGCGTTATTTTAATAAAGATATTTGCATTCAAATTGAATAAACCGCTTATATGAAATTACTATAAAAATCTGATTAGTTAAACAGAGAGATTAAAAAGAAAGGTAGTGTTTTATTGCAAATTTTAAGTAAATGTTCCAGTTTGATATATTTGCAAATATTTTGTATGGTTAGACTTTTCTTATTTTATACAAAGTGACTATTTTTGTTATGCCTTTCAAACGATAAAATTCAAGTTATTTCATAAATATACATATAAGGAACATAAAAAAAATTTGGAGTAGCGCGATACGAAATTCTGCTTTCAATCTTCCATTATTTTAACTTTGGAGCGTTCTACCAGATGGATCTTCCTCCCCCAACTACTCCTCTCCTGTCCCGTACAATATGTTAATACTTTATGAAATTTCAGGTTAAGTAGTTCTACAGAAATTTTGTTCTCATGAAAAAGGCATGCAGTTATTTGCATTGCATGAAGGTATCCTAACAAATATATATTTATAACATTACAAAAGGTAGAAATAACCTGAAATAGAGAAGATATATCTAGCCATGGGATTCGAGCAATCAAATTATATAATGAACCACCACTGCGAGATTTGGCAAGACGGTAAATCGTTTCACGGTGCTACTTTTATCCAAAGAAACAAACTGTTTTAATGTTCAGAGACTGTAAATGATATTGTCCCCTTCCGTTTTGATTTAACTGATGACCAGATCTGCTGGCTGATAAGAGCAGATGGAAATTGGTGATATGTGCTTTACTCTATACATAGAGAGGGATAATCGGTTTCCTTTGAGCGTAAATAAAATTTATCAAGTTCACCGTTACAGTTTTTACGATAAAAAGCAATTGTGTTCATTTTTTTTTAAATATTCGTCTCAAGAAATGTGAATAATATGAAGCCAGTGTTTGCATTACCCTGGGACGTAATTAAATAAATAAATATTTTTTTAACAAGGAACAAAATATTTCACAAAATTCTTTTCTGAAAACAAAATCTGAGACATTGTTACAAAAAATATTTAAAATCTTTTTATAATAATAATTATCTCCATATAATTTTCTGAAAATGATTCCAGAGATATCAAAAATAAAGGCTAGTAAATAACATCTTGTGATTCAGAAGACACGGACGATGCGTATGGAGATATTTTGTTACAACTAACAAAGACGATCTTGGTACGCATATCCGTACGAGTATGTCTGACCCCCATGGCTAGACGTCAAGACATGTAGCCTAATTAATTATAAGTATCCTAAACGTGATTAAATGGATAGTGAAAGGAAACATTTTATACCTTTTGAATGGTAAAGCACATTTTGATACAAGATTTAAATGGAAAATGACTAAAACACGTTATGAATTACTTGATAGCATCTCGGTCACCATATCGTACCACTCGTGATAAGTGTTGTAAAATATTAGAAGTTCAAACCCCAAAATATTTTAGTTATTATTATTATTATTATAGCCTACTTTCCTTATTTTGAAAAATAAAAATATTTTGTATCTGTAATTGGCCTCTTGGATGACAAGTTTGCATGTAAATAAATAAGAATTAAATTTAAATTGAATTGAATTTGTTTTATTTCGTCTCATAATTACTCATTTGGTTGTACTGTTGGCACTATATATATATATATATACAGTTACTAAAACTCAGCAACCTAAAGTTCGACAAGTGCGCATTTCGGCGTAACAATATTTATACAGGAACATGGAAGCAATATGGCGACTGGGATGCTAACTGTACAGAAATTGTGATGTTCCCCCACTCCAAATCTGCAATCTCTATCATGCAGATTATGTTGTTTGTATCACTTTAGCTATGCACTATAGATGTAGCAGCACAAAGCAGTTGTGAGTAAGTGTGTGTGTGTGTTTGAGTGAGTGAGTGCTTGAGTGAGCATTTTTTTTCGACTGAACGAGATAGGGCTATGACGGACATATTTCAGATTATATACTAAGCCCTTGTGCATCTTTCATGAGAGAAAGAAAAAGGTGTAGTTCTGTCGATAAAAATGACTTCTCCATTAGGAATGAAATCAGACAACTATTTATCAACAAAAAATCGCAACGAAGAAATAAAATATATTATAATAATAACTTCATAACAAATCGAAGTTAGCTTGTGAGCTGCGAATGTTGCACACTGAGCTAGAGCTAAGCATGTTGACGCCAATGTTACTGCACTTGTATTTTTCTTTTTTGTTATTTTTGTGTGGGGGGATATAGCAAAGTGAAAAAAGAGCTTCCAGTCATAAGTATGATTCTCTATTTTTGGTACTGTGCATCCACATATGATTGGAAACTGCGAATTATCTTGGAAATTTGTGGAATATGTTGTTTATGACGAAAGGAAGAAAACGTATCAAATTCTTTATCAGTGGAAACAAGATACTAAATAACCTACTATTATTGTATTAGCCAATATTTATGCGCGCATGCGTGTGCGACACTTGGATTTGTACTATTGGAGTTTGTAATATTTTGGTTGCCTGGAAACAGAGTCGCACTGCCCAGACTGTATTACCAGTATCAGAACTACGCATAAAAGGTTAAGGTTAGCTCTTACAGTGATACCAACGATTAGATTAACGGTAAAAAGTAAGTATAAATCATCAGTTTTTACCAGGTCCTTCCTCCAGGTTGTTTGCCAGACATGTTTCTCTGCTTCATCTCCTGTCTCTTTATCCGAGGGGGATAAGCTCCATTTACACATCCAATTGGAGGCCAGTGGGAGCCTAAATTCTGCTGGACGCTGTGGAGGAGAGAAAATCTCTTAGCCATGCCGGGTATGTAAACTTTATTGGGCGTGTTACTTTACTGCATATTCATAACATCGAACACCAACCACGCAATTTTTACGGCCCTCTTTCGACGTCTGACAATGCGGAACAGCTTACAGTTACGTTAGTCTTAGAAAATACAGTTGTAAGGCAACAAACTGGTCGAAGGGCCTCAGAATGTTGAGGGGACCATTACATTGAAATGGGAAGATTTTCAAGATCTTGATTGCTTTGAATTGTTTCAGGATAAAGTCCAATGTACGACTTACGTGTCTACAGCGATGAGACTTCCGGTTCCTTACAAAGCAGTAAATTCTTTTGCCCAGTTAAATAACTGCACTAAATTTTCAAAAAACCATGCACCATGGAGAATGATATCAATTTCATTATTGTGAAATTGTTGTACAAAGCCAAAGAGCCCATGAAGTGATCAGTAGACAAGTCATTCAAGAGCTGAGTATAACTTTCTGAACGGTTTTACAGGAAATCTGAGTACTGAAACGAACACATTCGTTCATATGAAAAACAAACAGTTTACACATCTACATCCCTTATGTTGGCTCGAATTTTCGTCTAGCCAAACGATTGTGCCATTGGTTCTACTACCGCAAAATAACTACATGTTTCTGCGCGTTTATCATGTCCGCCAATCATCTCCATCCTAATTTGTATTTCTCGCCATGTAGAATATCTTATGTCTAGGCCTATATATCCCGTGATTGTCTGAATTATACGTCAGAATTTTCAGAAATGTACTGTTCGGGACTCAGCTCTGTGACCCTGTGTGAACCATTCAAAGTGGGCAGTAATAACACTCTCCAACTTCACACATTTCCACGGTTTCTGCAGTCACAGAACTAAGTCACGAACTGTATATATACGCAGTTGCAACTCTGTTCCACGCTGATATTGGCAAATGTTTTATTTCTAGGTTATTTATGTATGGGGTGATAAAACAATGACCATTTTGGGGATATGAAGTATATGAAACTAACCCAGCATCCTATATATACAGTCAAACATTCTGCCTTTAGTCCCGCAATTCACCTTGTCCCATTACTTCCCCCAACGTCTACCCTGATCCTGTCCCCATGTATAGCAAAGAGTTTTATACCAGCAAAATGTAATGGTTATTCCCAAGTAAAAAAGGTGAAAAACAACAAACGATATTATCAAATATAACCGAAACAAGTGAACCAAAATGTAGATAGACAAAACAAAAACATAGATTGGTAGTGAAGAATGGAATTGAGAATAAAGAAAGTTATAAGAAACATTGTGTTTGTTTCATTCTCTGCTTTATTCTGAGTCTTCTCCACGTTATATTTATGTGGAATAAAAGTGTTCCTGTTGTCTCTTAGCCCACTTACACGTCCCTTCCCAGGCTTCTGGGGAGGAAACCTGTAAGTTGGAAATTAAGATCATGGGAAGTGCTATATGTGAAAACCCGTGAACCTAAGTTGCTAGCCAATCAGGAACCTGCACAGCTGCATCACACACACCGTCACATCCGGGAACAGAAACGCTGTCGTTAGCGGAAGGAGAGGCGGGCGTGCAAGTCAGGTAAGTGGGCCGTGTGCAGTAAGTTATGCAATATGGATATATGAGCATGTAAGCAAAGAGCAGACAGCATTAAGTACACAGATTTTCTCAACACTTTTCCAGCAGTAAATGTAGCATTAGTATTGGTGTCTGTTTATTTTGGATACATACGCAGGTCTGGCCGCTCACAGTGGCCGCGCGGTCTAAGACATAAACTGACTTCGCTCGCTCGAATGCTGGGATCGTGGGTTCGAATCCCATTTAAGGCATGGGCATCTGTGTGCGTTTATTCTGTGTTTGTGTTATTCCGTATGTACGTAGCGACCTTGCGACGGGCTGATCCCCCGACCAAGGAGTCCTACCGACTGTTTATAGGATAAGAAATTGAAAAAGCGGCCAAGGCCCAACAAAGACTTTAGAGCCATAGATAGATAGACAGGTCTGTTTTTGACAAAACCAATCAGTGGTTCAGGCTCTACACTGCACTCTGCTGTCACTCCTTTTAAGGGTTCATATAGCCCATCGTGGACACGAACCAAGTAGCACCCAAGACAGATACGTTATTGTTTAACGAACCTGTTTTATTCCTGACTTATTTTTTTCCTGAATTCAGTTTGTTGTGATTTATTTCTTGAATCCCTTCACGATGCTAGCAAGCAGTAACGCTCTAGACTTGTATTCGAGAAGCTTTCGGTTCGAATCTCGTCTGGGACACTGGATGTCCTGGCTGAGATTCTTCGTAGTTGTCCTTATTCTCTCAAGGCTTGATCAGGCCACAACCACTTCTTCCCCCAAAAATTAAAGGTATCCCTGAACAGGCCATGGAGGCCTATAGAGTTGTGAGATGTTGAGGTTCCGGAAACTTCACATAATTTAAAATAAATATTTTGGAATATACGAGCCAATTAAATTAAATCTAATTGTAAATCCTTAAGGAATTTAAAGTTGATTATTGTCTTTAGCATATTAATTTTAATATTTTAATGTTTTACAAGTAGCCTTAATAAATTTGGATCAAATATCTTTTGGTTTTAAATTACGTAAAATTTACTTCAATACTGATGTCCTCGAAGATGGTAAGTTAGGGTCGAAGCACGTTTATTTGACCATTAAAATAATAATTATGCGTTATGGTACTGTTGTACTTATGTTAATTGTAACATAGGAACTTAAATAAGGTTCAAATATGACAAACGCTGAAGAAAAGCCATTTATCGTTTAATTTTGAAACAAAACCTCAGAGTCATTTGTCAAGTTATGATCGAAATTCGGTTACCATATAGGGCTATATGAAAAGCCCCGTGGCTTGTACTTGCTTTCTCAATTGATTTAAATTATTAAAATAATCAGAACACAGTAATAGAAACAAGCAGACTACTGTATCACAGAATTTACGTACAAATCATCCTTAATTCCATTTTTCCAGATAAGGAAAATTTACTTTAAGGTTGTCTCTATTGTGATTCTTAACTTGACTAGCCTAGTAGCA